GATATCCAGGCACTGGAGGAATCCGTGAGTGCCTTGGAAAAGTCACTCACCTCCCTGTCAGAGGTAGTTCTGCAGAACCGGAGGGGATTAGACCTCCTCTTCCTGCAGGAAGGGGGGTTATGTGCTGCCCTTAGAGAAGAATGTTGCTTCTATGCGGATCATACTGGGGTGGTGAGAGATAGCATGGCTAAGTTAAGAAAGAGACTAGAACAGAGACAAAAGCTCTTTAAAGAACAGCAGGGGTGGTTTGAAGGATGGTTTGGAAGGTCCCCCTGGCTCACCACCCTCATCTCCACCCTTATAGGGCCCCTTCTGATTTTATTCCTCCTTCTGACTCTCGGGCCCTGCATCCTAAACAGACTTGTCCAATTTTTCAGGGAACGTGTTTCTATTGTTCAGACCTTGGTATTGACCCAACAATACCAACGACTCAACCAGGTGGAAATGGAGCCACATCCCTATTCTTCCCCATGAATGGAGGATTCCATTCCCTGAGATAAGAAAATGGGGGAATGAAAGATCCCAGCATACTAGCTTAGCCTAACGCCATTTCAAGTAAGGTCTGAAAAGTGCAGGGTGTCTACAGCCGGCCTCCTGGCCCCAGAAAAGGGTACTAAAGGTCAGAAAAACAACTTGGAGCCAGGCAGCAGGCGTGTCAAGCTCGGGGAAAAACCACGAGCTGCCCTGAGTTTGAACCCGGCCTCATTTGAATCGTCCAATCAGAACCCTGTAAACCATGAGCTGCCCTGAGTTTGAACCCGGCCTCATTTGAATCGTCCAATCAGAACCCTGTAGACCATGAGCTGCCCTGAGCTTGAACCCGCCCCCCTCGTGCTCCTGCTGCCCGACCCTATAAAAACCCTCCGCTCCAGCCCGTGGGCGCGCCAGTCTCTTGAGCTTCTTGAGGGACTGTGTTGCCCCGGGTACCCGTGTTCCTGAATAAAGCCTCTTGCTGTTTGCATCTGACTTGTGGTCTCGTGTGATCTCTGGGCGAGGGTCTCTCCAGAGGGAAGACTGCCTTCGGGGGTCTTTCAATAGCATTTGAAGGGGTTATGTAGTCTGCTGAAGGGAGTTGAGGGGCAGGGATGGTAGCTTTATAATGTATTTGAGACATCAACATATTTGAGTGTGTGGATTCTTTTAATGAAATGGATTCCTGAAACCAGTTGTTTTATTGAAGTGCTCAGCTGATTCAGTCTAATGATCCCCCGTTGACTGGGATCTCAAGTACATCTCTCAGAAATGTTCAATCCAGTGCTGTGAAGTTCCTTTGAAAACTCAGCCTTGCCGGGCGGTGGTGGCGCACGCCTTTAATCCCAGCACTCGGGAGGCAGAGCCAGGTGGATCTCTGTGAGTTCGAGGCCAGCCTGGGCTACCAAGT